GGGCACAGGGACCAGGAACAGGTTGGCAGGATCCCAGAATGCTCAGGGCCTCCCTCTTCTCTCCAAAATGCCCCCTGCCCACTCTCAACCGCTGGGGAAGGGAGGAATGTGCTGAGCTCTGGGAAAAGTCTTCCAGGCCTGGCAGCCAGCAAGGGTTGGGGTGTGGCCGGAACCCAGCCAGAAGCCTCCTCCCAGGAGGGGTGGAAGGGACAGTGTGGTCAGGGCTGCTGGTGGGCCTCAGGAGACCCTCAGCCCATGGCAGTCTCTCTCCCTCTCATTCATTGATTCATTCAGATATTCATCTGTTCACATACTCATTCAAAAAACATTCACAAGCCCTTGGTGGCAAGCCCTTTGCTGGGCACTTTGGACACTGACAGATCTAAATTCACTATGGGGCTGAGGGGCGGGCTCAGGAAGGTCCCTGGAGGAGGAGTCATCTAAAGTCAAACTGAAGGGTCAAAAGGAAGGAGCCAGGTAAAAAGATGGTGAAGGGGCTTCAGGTGGAGGGACAGACACAGGCAAAATACCAGAGGGAAGAAGAGAGCAGCCCTTCACCCAGTATCAGTGGGCAGTGAGCACCTGGTGTTGTGGCCAGCCCCGTGCTGAGTGGTGCTGGGGGCACTGCATAATCAAGGTAGCTGGGCCTGATTTTGCTGAGTTCACATTCCAACAGGGAGACAGACCCAGAATAGCCAGGGTTGTGATGGGAACTGATAGGCAGAGAGTCCAATCGGGGCCTTGTTGGGGGAACCCGGAAAGATGCTTGCTTCAGCCTAGGAAAGGAGGTCAGGGAAGGCTTCCTGGAGGAAGGGACATGTGAGCTGAGACTTGAATGAATCATAGGAACTAAGAGAGAGAAGAGGAAGAGGAACCGTTTTATGAGCAGAAGGAACAGCCTGTGCAAAGCACCCCAATCCAAAGAGAGAGCAATGCATAGGAAATGTCCAGGGGCTGAGAACTGTGTCCTTGTTCATAGTCGTGTCCCTAGGGCAAGCATGCTCCTTCTCTAGCATATCTGTCTGATTTATACATTTATTCACAGCTATTAGCAGACACCTCCTCTGTATCCATCTCTGGGCCAAGCGGCGGTGGGAACACAGCAGTGACTGTGCCCTCGCAAGACTCACAGTTGAAAGGGGCAGACATTGAAGAACTAATCAACAGAATCATTTTTGAGTGATTATATTATTACACTCTGAGCTAAGCAATATGAAAGACAGATTCAGACCTACACAAGGGGCTTGGTACTCCAGTACTATCAGAAAAAGCAGGGAGGGCTTCCTGGAGGAAGTGACATTTGAGCTGGCATCTAAGGCATACATCAGAATTCATGTAAGGCTGCAGGTAGTAGATAAATGAGAGTGGGTTTCAGGTAGAGGGAACAGCCTGTGTGCAAAGGGCTCTTTGGGGAAACTGGTGAATGTGAGAGCGTGAGGGGAAGCTGAGAGGTCAGTCCATGTTCAGCAGGCCATGAGGAGGGGCTGAAACTTTGTCCTGAGAGCCCTGGGTACCTACAGGAGGGACAAAGTCAAAGCTGAGTTTTAAGAGTTCAGGGTGGAAAGAGTCTGACTGCAGGACAAGCAGAGTTGAGGACAAAGGACTCTGGTGTGTGCTCTCTTGTTTCTCTCTGGGTCTCAGAGGGCAGATAATCTTGCATCTTCCCATCTCAGTGTACCAAGCATTCAGTCTTTTACCATTAAGTAGGCTGTTAGCTGTCGGTTTTATGTAGCTGCCCTTTAGCAGGTGAAGGACGCTTCTTTCCCTAGTTTACAGTGGTTTTTGTCATGAATGCTATGTCTCTCTGCATGCCCCTCTGTGTCTCTCTTTCTCCCTTCATCTCTGTTTTCCTTCCTTGGCTCTGTCCTCTCTGTATCTATGCTCATTCCTTCTGTGTCTATTTCTTTCTCTGTGTCTCTTGCTTTCCCTTGACCAAGAGGGTGTGGCCACGGGAAGTTAAGTTTAGGGGTTGGCACCAGTGTCCCGGTTCTGGCCAAGGCCACTTCAGTAAACACAGGACATCCTGTAGCACTGGGGAAGGAGGTGGAAGATTCTGCTCAGGGACCACCCTTTCCCCACCCAGTCTGAGTTGAGCATGAGCCAGGTCCCACCCAGTACAGCCAAAGGAAACTGTTTTCTCCCTCACCTCTGTCCTTATTGCCTGCTCCTGCCCTGGCCCTCTCACCTGAGCTCCAATCTCAGGCTCAGCTGCTTGGATGCCTTGCACTCACTATGTCCCTCTCTGGCCTTGGTGTCATCCTCAGCCCTGCTTCTCCTTCTGCTCGTCATTTCAGGGTGGCCCCACCATCCCTCAGTCCCCTGGCTAGAGCCCTAAGTCTCATCCTAGGCTCCTCCTCAGTCACAGCTTATCAGTCCCGCAGCCTGTCCTCTCCAGTGTCTCTCCAGTGGCTCCTGTCCCCAGGCTGCTCCAGGCCTCCCTTCTTGGGTCCTGGCCTCCAATCTCATCTCACCACCATGTCCACATGGCAGCCAGAGAGATCCCTTTACTTCCAGATACCTTTACCCTAATGCCTTCAGGGTGAAGTCCCTCATCAAACACCTTGGTCCCTGCCCATCCCTCTGCCCATCACTGATCTTACTTACCTCTTACCCCCGCCCCATTCCCATCAAACTCAGCAGCATACAGGTCCCTGAAAAGGTGGTAAGGTAGCTAACCTGCAAATTCTTGCTCATGCTGTTCCCTCTTCCTAGAACACTCTTCCCTCAGAACAACAGCCCTTTGAGGTAGGCACTGTAACTGTCCCAGCTTAGAGCTGAGGAACCTAAGACCCAGAAAAGTTAAACACTTTGCCTAGGGTCACTTCAGACCCCAGAGGACTGGGATAAAGGCTGAGGGCCTGTAGCAGGGGAGTGATGTGGTCAGGCAGTGCCAGGCACCTAAGTAGGTACTCATAAATCTTCGCTGAATGAGAGAAGGAAAGAAGAGGGGTAAGGAGGAAGGAAGGGAGAAGACAGCCAAGGACAGGGAAGAAATGCATGTATGGTGGGGGTCACTGTAGATGCCCCTGGAGGGGACCTGGCCTGGACAGTGCTGTGGGAACACACAGAGGCTCTGTGAAAGGCAGCAGCAGCGCCAGGGCCGGTGGCTCGGCAAGGAATGGTGTGGGCCCTGGAATCTGCTGGCTGGGGTAGTGTGGCCTCCCAGGGTTGAGCCTGAGGGCGGAGGGGCACACCAGAGCCAGGGAGTCTGGACAATCATCCGGAGGTCAGACTTGGGAAGTGTGGGGTGGGTCCTCAGGCCTGAGCTGTTCATAAACCCTAGGGCACCAGGGTAATGGGACCAGGGCTGATCTAACCCACATGGTGCTTTTCTACAAAAGACATGCCCCTTCCCCAAGGTGCTTGATCTCCATCTGCTGGGAAACTATCATAGCAAATATATAAATACATGGTGCCCGAGACATTTGTGTTAGTCCCTTAAATATGGAGCCTATATATGCAGGGCACAACCTCTGTAACTGTACCCAGAGGCTCTGGGGAGAGGGACATCACTGGCCAGGCAGACACTGGGGCAGATGGGAGAATCACTGACAGATGGGTTGGCTGTCTACATCAGTAGGTATCAGAGATTATTCTCCAGGTTGGCACCAGACCAGGAGATGTCAGGAACAGGTCCCTGGGGTTTTATAAACAGAGGGCATTGCTGGGGTGGGGTGGGGGGGAGGCACTCCTGAACCACTGGACTGATCTCCAGAAAATCCAAGGCAGTGCCATCACAGACGCCCAGACTGGGCACCAGGGGGCATTGCTGAGCTCTGTCTAAAGTCCCAAGGCCTGGGTCTGGGTCGAAACTGAGTCTGAGTCCCGTTGCGCAGGGGTAGGAGTCAGACACCCGGAAGCCCTTCAACCTGGGCACCAGCTCCCTTCGCACCATTTCCAGTCCCCTCCCAGGTCGCCTCATCCACTTCCAGAAATGGGCACGACTTCCTCTGCTGCTCCAGGAAGCTCCATTCTGCCCGCCCCTTCCCGGCCTCAAGCTGCCAGTCTCCCCCAGTTGCCTCCCCGCTTCAGCCTTCCAGAAGCTACCAGCCAGAGAACCTACGCTGGTGCTCGGCGATGCTGGTTTCCCTTTGCTGGCGTTTCACCCTCTCGAGGCCCAGCAGGCCCCTTAAGTCACAGTCAGGCCTTCTGCTCCTCCCCCTGCCCCTCCCTCCCGCACCTCGAGCACTGCCCTGCCCCCAATGGCCGCCAGGAAGGACGCCGCCTGGGTCCCGTGCCAGGCCTCTGAGTGTGCGGCCCCTCCCAGCGGGGCCAGGAATGCGGCTGGACCGCGGGGGCGGCGGGCAGCGAGAGACACCCAGCACTCAGGCCAGGCGGCCCTGTCACACAAGCAGGCAGGTGGCCTCAAGATCGCTGGGGCCTGGATTTCTTCTAGAAGAAAAGCATTCTTTCCTACCCAGTTTGAGATTTCAGACCTGGAATTTTGTTAAAAGTTGCTAGAGTCCCCCCTCCTGTCACCATTTTCCTGGAGAGCTGCCTCCCAGTGCTCCTTGGAGAGGCTCCATCCAGCCTCCAGCTTTGAGCTTTTATTCCTGGCTCATTCTGAAAGCTCTCTTTTGTCCCCAACAGCCCTCAAGACACACAGGTAAGGACTAGATTTCATTATGAAAAAGTGGCCTGGGGCACCTCTGCCACCACCACTTCTGTGACAGACAGGCACAGCAGGGAAAGCTGGCTGAGAACCTTCCTGGCAGTTTTCTAGAGGCCTGTTACCAGACCTAACTGGTCTATTTCTAGACCTATAAAATGGTAAAGTTCATAGTCTGAAACCCACCTCTTCCAGTGATGACTTCCTGGAGCCTCAGTTTTATCAGCTGTAAAATGGGGATAATGGAAATGCCCATCTTGTTATGAGGATTAAATGACTTAATACATGTTAAAGGCTTAGACCTGTGCTAGGTACACAGTCTGTGGTCAATAAATGTTAGAGGTTATTACCTCACCCTTGCCTTAGCCCAGACACAAAGAAGAATACAGACTTGAGATTTCCTAGGACTGGTTTTTAATTTCAAAAACTGGTTAGGGTCCCTTTCCAAATCAGGGAGAGCCATATCCAGGCTATGACCTCAGAGGAGTCAGTTCAGCACTAGGCCTGGTCCAATCACAATCCAGCCACCAGGCCCTGCCATTCCATCACAAGGGCCCACCCCAGACTCCTCCCTTCAACCTGAGACAAGAGGGCGGAGGTGAAGCTGCTGGCGACTGATTCTGTCTCTCAGAAGTCCCCATCTCTGTTCTAGGAGAGCCAGCTGTGTCTTTTCCAAGGAGAGTTGGTTTAGCCACCAACTCTGTTTAGTCAGCAGACAACCCTCCCAGTCCTGGGGTCAGCGCCCTGGCCCCGGTGGCCGCTCCAGTGCCTGTGTGCCCACCAGCACGTCCATGAGGTAGTCCAGCTCAGCCTCGTCAAGCTCCGGAGCTTCCGCCTTGCCTGACCCATCTTCAGGGACAGGTTTGAGGCCCTCAGAGTCTGGTGCCCAAAGTTCACTGTCATACATGGAGGTGTCGATGTCCTCAAACAGGCCCTCGAGCCCATCGTCTAGCAGGCAGCTGGTGGCTGGGCCCAGCAAGTCCAAGGTACCCAGGCTGGGTGGGGCTCCCCCAATGGAGCGACCAGGGGGCCCCTCGTCTGCCAGGGGCTGGGGGGCCTGGCTCAAGCCCTCGATATGGCTGAGATCCTCCAGGAGACTGGCCATAGAGGCTGAGAGGGCGGCATCTGAGCTGGCCAGCAGGCTATCAGCCACACCAGGGGCTGCAGGCGGGCTGGGCACAGGTGGCAGGGCAGCTGTGGGTGCCATGGATGCCTGGATGCGCCGCAGCGTGTTCACTACCAGCACCAGGTGCCGTAGGTCCGGCTCACTCTGCCGCAGGCTGTGGTGGAGTTTGAGCACTGAAAGGTCAAAGAGGGAACTGGAGGCCACGGCTGGGGGTGCCTGTGCCACTGCTGGGTGACCAGGATCCAGCCACCAGGTGTCCACTGCCAGGGCTTCCTTTTCCTCTTCCACCTCCTCCTCCTCCCGCTTGCGCTTCAGGCCCTTGCTCAGCATCATCTGTGAGGAGGGAGGAGTCAGTGAGTTATGGAAAGTCAATGTTAAGTCCAAACCCTGGCTCTGACAACTGCTCTTTGGGTGATCTCAGGCAAGTCTCTCTGAGCCAAGGTTTTCTTGGGGAACCTTTAAGATATGAATGATAATAGTGCCTACTGCCTAGAGTTGATTGAGGAATATATGAGATAACAGACAAAACAAAACCCCATTACAACAGTGCCTGGTACATAGCAATTTCTCTTATTATTAAGTAGTATTATTAATAACTATTATAATGTATTTCTTCAATGAATCATATGAAATATTCAAAAGTCAACCCTTTTTTTAACCTACAAAAGCAGCTGTTTCACATAGTTCAATTTAATATTTATTGAATACCATGCACCAGACAATAACAGATACAGGAAATGTACAGACGGTGCTAGGAAGATACTAAGAGGTTCTGGGGAGTCATCAGGAAAGGCTTCTCTGAGGAGGTGACATTTGAGCTGAGCCCTCAAGCATGAGGAGTCCATCTCGGAATAACCAGGGGGAAAGCAATCTGGGAAGAGGGAACAACAGCAAAGGCAAAGACAGACCAGGAGACAGGATGAACCTGGACTGAAAAAAGGCCAGTATATTGTCAATTATACCAATGTGGTCAGCACACAGAAGTGACAAGAGTAGGGGAGGGGGAGGAGCAGAAGGTGGCAGGAGGTGGAGAGTAGGCAGAGGCAAAGAGTTTGGACTTTTATTGTGAGTGTGGTGGGAAGTCACTGAGGGATTCTGAGCAGGGAGGAGAGTGGTAGTGTGAATTGAGTAGGTTTCCAGAAACTCCCCCTTGGCTACTTCGAGTAAGATAAGGGGTGTGGAGAGAAGGGCGATCCATTCTCTCCATTCGGAGGCTACTACACTGTTTGGGAAGGGCGATGATGGTGGCTTGGAGTACAAGGTGGTAATGGAGATGGAAGGAAGTTGATCGATTCAGGATTTATTTGGGAGGCAGGGTGGGCAAAGCTTGCCAGGAAATCCTGATGGGCACGGGGGTCACTGAGTGCTGTATGAAGACCCACAATTTCCCCTGAGGCGGGTGGTCCATGGAGTTCGCGACCCGAGGACCAAGCTGCTTTTTGAGCCAGGCAGCCGACAGTCCCTGAGCCCTTCCTTGACCAGAAGGGCCTTAACTTTTCACGTTAATAAGAACTAGTACCCTGCCTCCTTTCTCGTAGACTTGGGAGTCCAAAACCGCAGGAATTCAGCCCCCTACCCCAACTCCACCCCCCCATTCCTGCGCCCCCTAGCGGCGCCAGGCGGGCCTTCCCCCGGAGATTTTGGCTCCTAGACCCCGGGACCCTTCATGCCGCCCCTCGTTCTAGCTGTGGTTACTGCCTGCCGCCCGAGGCCGTGCAGGCCAGGATCCCGGGTGGGCTGTTCTGCCCTCTCGGCCTCCACTCGCTACCGGAAGGCAGTGGAGGCGGCTCCTCCCGAAGCGGCGGGGGCGGGTGAGTCACGCAGCCGGAGCCACGGAGCCGGCGCCTCCGCCCCCTTCTTGGGCTGCGGCGTGATTCACCCGACCCGGCCGAGGCGGGCGGCATTTTAGAGGCCAACACATCTCGATCCCAGGCAGCCCCGGCGCACACCTGCCGGACCCGGGGATCGAACCTGCCAAAAACTCCCGCCACCGGTACCCCCTCATTCCCTACCTAGGCCCCTTCCCTTCATTTACATACCCAGCTCAACAGCTGCCAATCAGGACGAAAAGGGAGCCACTCGCGGCCAATCAGGAAGCGGCGGCGGCAGCATCGCTCGCTCCCTCTCCTTCAGCAACCAGCGCCCGAGTGGGGAGACGCGGTTCTGACTCCAGCTCACGACTCTAGGCTCTTGACTCCTCTTAGTCACCGCCCACTCCCCTGGCGGACCGCCCCCAGCCCAGAGATTGGCCCTGGACGGTGATGGGCGGTGCCTGTGGGCAGGTTCGAAGGGAGAGGAGGTTGGCTTCTGGGCGCAGGCCCTGGCGGCTGCCTGAGGGGAGGAGAAAAGGCGGGGTGTCTAGTTGCCTTGACAGTGGCGTGGTGGGGTGTTTTTCTCTGAGGGTGCCGGCCCCTCGTACCTACCCATGCACCTGTCAAACCCAGGAATTTAGTTTCTTACGCACCCAGCCCAACAGGGGCTCTACACTCGAGGCCACATAAGCCCGGGTTCAGATTTTGACTCGCGACTCTATGTGTGACCTTGGAAAAATGCTTGAGCTGTCTGAGCCACATGAAGTCTGTAAAATGGGGATCTTCTTGCTTACCTCTTGAGTTAAGAAAATTAAAATAACATCATATCTATAAGAACACTATACTAGATTTGGCAAATGCCAGTAGATGCACTTAATTGTGAGAGTCGAAAGGCAGGAGTTGGGGGAGAGGGGAAATGCCACCGTAGTCACATACTAGGCTCCATTCCCTAAGTAGCTGTGTGACCTTGGGCAAGGGTTTTAATTCCTCAGTCTCAGTTTCTGCATGTTTGTTAAAATGAGCGAAATAGCTTTGGGCAGAGGATTGTTTGAGGATTAAATAGAACAATTTGTGTAAAATGTTCAGAGTGCTGTGTATGTCCTTTTATTAGTAGTTATAGCTGTTGCAAAAATAGCACGGCGCTTAGTTCAAGTGGGGGACACTCGGGGTGGTGTGTAGGTAGACAGGAGTTTAATACTTGTCAGAGAAACTGACAGTGGGGCTTATTACAAGTAGCTCACTTGCTAATTCTTCTGGAGCTGTGGGAAGAACTGTTAGTTGTGAATAGCACTCCTGGCCAAAGTAAGCTTCCAAATATGGTAACTATACTATGTAGCATTTTTCACAGTTGCCAAGATATGGAGGCAATCCAGGTGTCCTTCGATAGACAAGTGGATAAAGAAGATGTGGTACCTATTGTTGGCACAGGAACATGCAAACCTGTGGAGAATTTTTATGAGTTTATTTGAGCCAAACTGAGGACATATGCCAGGAAGCGAGATCTTAAATCCTCCAGTGAATGACAGTTTGCCATTTCTTTTACACATTTAGGTTTAAGGAGGCAACATAAGGAAGATTATGTGAAGGGGGGAGAAAGCAAGGCAGGGGCTGGATTAAAGGGTAGTCAACAATGTGCTCTCTTGAGGGCGCTTACACTTCAGAGCATCTGAAAAAGATGCTTTTCAAAGGTGCTTTAACCTAAGTGCACAGAAACAATGTATAGGGCTTGCTTAAGGCAAAAACGATCCTTTTATAGTCCTGGGGTGTGACAACCCACCACGACCTACCTACTTAGGAATTTATCTTCAGATCACCCTGTGAGGTGACATTCTGTCACTGAACTTTGTCAGATTTAGCACATAGACCCTGTTAGTTTTGTTTTCATTTTAAAATATTTATTTATTTTTATTATTTATGCTGTTACAGTCATTCCCATTTTTCTCCCTTTCTCCACCACCCTCTCTCTCCTTAAATCAATCCCCAATTGTTGTCAGTGTCCATGGGCTGCTGTGTCCTTTGGTTAATTCCTTCACCATCTTTCATCCTATCCCCCCACCCTTCCCTCTGGCTGTTATCAGCCTGTTTCATGTATCTAAGCTTTTCTTACTATTGTGTTCTTTAGTTTATTATGTTCATTAGATTCCACATGTAACATGGCCCCTTATTCATTCCCAATTCATTCCCAATGTGGTCATAAATCAATCCAAAGGATGCATGGATAGCCAGTCTTTTGGTGGGGTAGTATGGTCTCACAGCATTAGGAAGGCCCGCTCCCACAAAGTTTCATCCAAGTCAAATTATTGAAATGGTGAGCTTTTGGCTGTAGAGTAATACCATAACTATGAGGTGTGAATTGAGGCTGAATTTTCCCAAAAGGGAAGGGCAGGTAAACAGAAGGTCTTATGGGCCTTTATTATGAAAAACATTTTGGATCATTTTTTTCTTTAAGTATAAAAATAAAATCTTTATTTTCAGTTGTTACCCATCAATAAAAGAAAGTTAGGTTCACATTTTAGCTCTTGACACTAAGTGAACATGGACGCAAATTTATATTCATTAAATATAACTAACGGACCAACTTGTTAAAGTTCAGGCTGTCATGAAAGCTTGCAACATATCAGGTATTGCTGTGTATTCTCTAGTGACAGAATGCTAGCAATGGCCAACAGTGAGTGGAACTTGTGAAGTGTTTTTAATAGCAGATGTTTTCTATATGTTGCTAGAAATCAAGAGGTTTATAAACATGTTACTTGTCCAGAAATGAGTTCAAAACTTGAAAGTCTAAACACTGATTTAGGAGTATCTATGTTGCAATCCCAAGAGGGGTCAATAGTTCATATGGACTAAATTAATACTTGCCTCTGGGTAGCAGGTACGTTTGTGAATATGAAATTGTATTAGGCAGTCCTGGCTGGTGTGTCTCAGAGGAATGAGTGCCAGCCTGAGAACCAAAGGGTCGCCAGTTCGATTCCCAGTCAGGGCACATGCCTGGGTTGCAGGTGGGTTCCCAGTGGAGGGTACTCGAGAGACAACTGCACATTGATGTTTATCTCCCTCTGGTTCTCCCCCCTCCCCCTCTCTTTAAAAATAAATAAATTTTAAAAATTATATTTGACATTAGTACCAGTACAAAACACACTCAGCATCATAAGATCCAAAACACCAGCACAAGTTATTGGATCATTAATGTCTGGTGAACCATTATGCTCTGAGTTCTGCTGCATGTCTCAATATATACAATGGAATGTTACTTAACTACTGAAAACATGAAAGCTTGCGGTTTGCAATAACATGAGTGGACGTAGAGGGTATTGTGCGAAGTAAAATAAGTCAGAGAAGAACAAATACCATATGATTTCACTTATATGTGAAATCTCAAAGCAAAACAATTAAAACAAAACAGAAACAAATCCACAGACACAGAGAACAAATTGATGGTTGCCAGAAGACGGGTGGGTAGGATGAGCGAAAAAGGTAAAGGGAACTAAGAAGTACAAACTGCCAGTTATAAAATTAGTCACAAGATGTAAAGTACAACATAAGGAATATAGTCAGTAATACTGTAATCATTCTGTATGAAGTCAGATGGATGCTACGCCTATTGTGGTGATAATTTTGTAAGGTATATACATACATAATCACTGTGCTGTGTATTTGAAATAATATAACATTGAGTGGGGGAGAATGGGTGAAGAGGTGAGGGGATTAAGTACAAATAGGTAGGTACAGAATAGCCATGGGGATGTAAAGTACAGCATAGGAAATGGAGCAGCCAAAGAACTTATACGAGACCCACGGACATGAACAATGATGGGGGACTGCCTGAGAGAGTGGGAGGGATGGTGGGTGGAAGGGGGCAAAGGGGGAAAAATCAGGACAACTGTAATAGCATAATCAATAAAATATAATTTAAAAAAACAAATAACATTGAATTTCAACTGTAATTGAAAAATAAATTTTTAAAAATACTAACTATATTAGTTGATTCTGGCAACAATTAACCAATTGGTTCTCAGACCTTACAGTGAAAGGTGAGTGGGGGACAGGATCTGGACAGGTGCCAAAGTGTTGCTGCCCAGGTTCCTTGCTAACTGCAGAGGAGGAAGTATCTTTTCACGGCGTGGAGGGGTGGTGCTCACCGCTTTAAGCAGTTGATGAAACTCTGCATCCACCTCAGCGGGACGCCCTGATGCTGGTGCCTCCTGATGCGATGCATAGAAAGTACACTACATTCTCTGTGGAGTCTCCCTGCTAGACCGTGTAAACTGAACCTTATCCAGCCTCTAGACCCAAACTTCAGCTTCTGGGAAACAGGAACACATTAAACACGAACATAATCAGACAAATGCAGAATGTAGGGCATCTATAGCACCACTGGGCTGCTCCACCAAAGATTCAATTTTAAGCAAACACAAAAAGGGATTAATGAGGCTGGGGGAAGATGTTCCAGATAAAGAGCTTCTACATAATTTGCTTATTACAACCAAAGAAGCACCTGAACCTTCACTGAATCCTGATTTTGGGTGGGGGGACAACTATAAAAGATATTTTTAGGAAAATTGGGAAAATTTGAATATTGATAGTACATGGTATTATGGAATTTCCTTAGATGTGGAATAGTATTCCACATAGGTGGTTTGTAGGTGAGTGTCCTTAATCTTAAGAAATGCCTGCTGAGCTATTAAGGGTAGAATGTCAAGATGTCTGCAATTTACTCACCAGTAAAAAAGAAAAAAAAAGTGTGTGTGTGTGTACTTGTATGTATGCAGATAAAGAAAACCAAGTGTTAACAATTAAATCTAGATGGAAGGGTATTCAAGTGCTCTGAATACATACTTAAAATTTTTTTCTATATTCTTGAATTTTTTCATAATAAAAAGAGGGTAAAATGCTAATTAGAACCTGGCCCATGCTAGGCAAATTCATATAACCTTCCCCACAGCCTGTCTTTGTGGCTGGGGAAGAAGGAAGCTCAGAGTCTCCAAGAGCTTGCTCCAGGTCAAACACTACAGGAAAGCTCACAGGAGTCATTTGATCAACATGTATTTATTAAACACCTACTATGTGGTGAGCACTGTTGTAGATGATGGAGGTACAGCACTGGATAAGCTTCACTTCTTAGAGGTTAGGGGAGGGGTTGGAGGGAGAAAAGAAATATGAAAAGAGGTGACATGGAGTAGAGACCTGGTGAAATGAGAGCGATGGTAAGGTTCTGTTGGAAGGGTGTCCCACCCGGAGGGAAGGGCCAGCTTGAAGACTGGAAGGCCGTACTCGCAGGAGTCAGGCAGCAAGGCCTGGGTTGCTGGCTTGCACGCTTCCTGGAGAGGTCAGAGAAGTTTTCAAGGCCCTTCAGAGCACTCTGTGGACCTTTGTTTTTCATTCTGAGTAGGATGAGAAGACCCTGGAAGACGAATAAATGCCTAAAATAATCTCTGCTTCTGTTCAGTGACTTGAAGAAAACCAAATAGGATGGGATTAATAGAGAGGTTTGGGGAGCGGTGCCTGCAGCGGTGGTCCCGGAGAGCTTCCCTGAGGAGGCGATTTTGAAGCTGAGAGCAGAAAGTGGAGAAAGAGCTAGGAATTCGAAGGACGGGGGGAAGGGAGAAGGAAAGAGATCTTGCCTGCTGAAACGAAACCAGAAGCGAAGCCAAGGGGCCCAGCACGCCTAGGGAGGAGCCTCCGCCCGCCCGGGAGGGAGGACGGTAGGGGAGGGCCCAGCCCCAGACACCGCCCCACCCGGCCTCTAGGGAGAGAGGAGGCGCCGGGCGGCTCCAGGCTGCCGCGGGCTCTGGGTATCCCGCGGGTGGCCAACCAAGGGCGGAGAGTGGGAGTTAGAGACCTGGCCTCCCTGGCCACGCCCCAGGTGGCCACGGCCCATTCCCCACCGAGGGATGGCGAGGGGTGGTAAGTTGGCGAACTTGGACTCTGCCCTCCGGGACCCTGTTCCCTCTGCCAGGCCAGCCTCTCCACTTCTCTGTCCAGTCCTTTAGCAGGGCAGGAGCTGAGCCACTGAGCCTCTATTTATTCCTCTGTAAAGTGGGAGTGCTTCTCATACTATGCTTCACAATAAGCCACCTTACCTTGGTTATCTTCAGGACAGTTAAAGAGAGCTCATTTAAAAGCGAGTCGGGTGGTTCAGTGGCTTGAGTCCCGACGTGCAAACCAAGGGTCTCTGGTTCCATTCCCAGTTTAGGACACATGTCTGGGTTGTGAGCCAGGTCCCCAGTAGGGGGCATGCAAGAGCCAACCACGCATTGATGTTTCTCTCCCTCTCTTTCTCCCTGCCTTCCCCTCTCACTAAAACTTTTTTTTAAGTGAGGCAGACATGATTTGTCCCCCTCCACTCTTTCACCTTAACTCCTAGTAATTTCCAACAACTCTCCCCCTTGCTCACTCTGCTCCAGACACACTGACCTCCTCAGGGTCCCCTAACTCTCCATTTTGCTCTGACCTCAGGGCCTTTGCACTGACCGTTCCCTTCAGGTTTTTACTCAAACGGCACCTTTTCATTACCTTTTCACTGATGCCTTCTCTAGTCATCCCACCTGTATATTGATACCCCCATCACACCCCTGCTTTTTCTCTACAACATTCACCACCACTTGACAGACTGTACATGTTATTTACGTTTTGTTTTTCAGCCTCCCCCTACTCTGATGCTTTAGGAAAGCAGAACCTGTGTTTTACTCATGTGCCTGGAAGAGTGCAAGGCTCACTGTAGGCACTCAATAAATCTGAGCAATTATCAGAATCCTTGGTGTGCATTGGGCCCCCTTTTACACACTTTGCTGGATCACTCAGTGAGGCAGGTATTACTCCAGATCCTCAGGTTGAGACACGCTGGTGTGTTTGAAGAACAGCAAAGAATAATGTGGCTGGAGCATAGGAGTGAGGGAGTGCTGGGGAGATGAGTTCAGAGAAGTGGGAGGGAGAGTTGGCCATAGCAAGGTTGGGAGTTTATTTTTTCAATAATAGAAAGCCTACCTGTGCCCAGCACAGTTCTGTGCACTGTGGATAGTTCTATGCACTATGCACAGGGGATACAGCTGGGCTAAGACCAACAAAACCCCTTCCTCTCAATTTCCAACAGGCCAGGAGACTAACTGTAAGCAGGTAATAAATAACTTGAGAGTGGGTAGGTGCTACTAAGAAAATCAAACAACGTGATAGGGTGATGGTGCATCTGGACATTTTGAGCTAGGAAATACAAGGAAGGCCTGAGAGGTGTCCCCTGGAGAGTTAACAGTAAGTGCAAAGGCCCCAGGGTGGAAATAAATTTGGAGTCAAAGGACACCAATGTGGCTGAAAGTGAAGGAGGGAGGGGAAAGTGGGAGATTAAACTGGGCTAGTTAGGAGCAAGATTGTCAGGTCTTACAGGTTTTGGTGAAGTTGAGGTTTCATTCCACGTGAGAAATTACTGAAAGTTTAAAGTAGGAGAAAAACACAATCCAATGGGCATCCACGTCAAGATACGAACATCACGTACCTTCTTGACCACCATCTTTCTCGTGATTGCCACCCACCTATTAGTGATCCCACTGCTTTCAGACTTAGAAGCAATGCCCCTGTCAGGGTGAGAATCTGGCTTTGAGCCAGAAAGCACATGTAAAATTCCCCTCCTTCTCTTGCCTATGGACTAGGCAAAGTGTGGTTCCTCCCTGCAACCCTTCTAGAAAAGCCCCTAAAGCTGTGTAAACTCACTCATTGTTTATCCTCAAGGCTTTGTGTAACAGCCAGTGCATCATCGCTGTTATAACATTTCATCTTCCCTGGTCTCCCTTCTGTTTTCCCCTCACTCACCAGCTTGGGCTTATAACTTCCAAATAAATCCTTAAAATCCTGACTTCTGCCTGTGCTTTGCTTCCTAGCCAAGGATATTTTTCTCCTCTGGGCCTCAGCAGCACATTTCATACAACGAAGGGGTTGCCTTTTAGGTGCCAGATCTTTGACACATTAATTCATGTGACTCAGTTTCTCACTCCTGTGTCTACCCATGTGTTTGGAGAGCCCAAATTACCAAGAAGCCAGTTAAGAACCAGGCTCTGGAGGCAGATGGAATTTGAGTCCTAGCTCCCTGCTTCTTGCTCTTACTAGCTGTGTGACCCTGAAAAAGTGACTTCACCTCTCGGAACCTCAGGCTCCTTTTATAGTAGCTACTTCTCTACAGTTGTGAGGATTAAATGACTTAATTCAAATAAAGTAGGCAGAACAGCGCTCTAACAAGAACACAGTAAACGTTACATTTAATGGTGTATCTGCCCCAACTTCGAGGGAAGAGATACAGGTGTCTAGGGAATTTACCAGGTTCCTCCTATTGACCCACTGGTGTTCACAAACTTTAGGCAACACGATCCCTTCCAAAATATTTTTATTAAAAAAAAAATAATTACAATCAAGCCCCACCACCCACCCCACCCCCAAACCACCACAAAACCTGCCTTTCTTTTAAATAACGCAGCATGGAGCAGTTTGGTTTCCACCCTATTGCACGTGGTCCGGCCTGGATATGAATCAGGAAGCTGCTGGGACTGGGGTACGGCCAAGGAAGTGGGGTTCAACCTGGGGGGAGTAGGTCCTACTCCTTTCCAGGTGCAACAGGCAGAGCTTGGGTTTCCACAGCAACCAGGCAACACATCCCCGTCATCCTTCGACAGGGCCACCATATCTTTCCTGAGGCCCCAGTGGTCACAAGAGGAGTAGGAACTTGAGGGGAAGGCAGAAGACATATGGAAGTGGGAAATCAGACTCCCAGAAACAGTCTCATTAAGGCATTTGGAACAGATAAATTAATTCAGGAAGACCCACCTTCACAGAAGGATGTGGTAACCAGATACACACACACATGCAAGACAGTTTGTGGGACCCTGAAATGGGAGAAAAGGAGGCCAGCCTCGGCTTAAAGCCCCCACCAACACACACACACACACACACACACACACACACAGTTGCATCTAGAGATCCAGCCCAATCTCTTCTCAGCCTTTTGGCTAAGATCAAGTGTAAAGATCCAGCTTACTGAGGCTGACATGTAGAGGGATCACCCCCACCACTATCAAAGCTTTAGGATCCTAGAATGATTTCCATGATGTGATCTAGTTCATTCCACTCCCAGGACCCTGGGGCACAGAAGAGGTTGTGAGGAGGCTCCGCTGGGGCCAGTGCAGGCTCCTTCTCCACTGTGGAAGTGTCAATGTCCAGAAAAAAGTCATCCAGACCTGAGTCCCCCAGGTACCGAGAGCTCAGGGCTTCTAAGAAAACTGGATCAGGCTGGGGCAGTACTTCATTTTGGGGGCTTGGGGGAGCCACTGGATTCTGAGGGGTCTCCGTCTCGTCCATGGAAGTCTCCAGCTCCCTGAGAATAGAGCCGATGGTAGTAGACAAGGAGAAGTCCTCTTCACCCAGGAAGAGGGGCTCAGGGGGCACGGCAGGTGCTGGAGCCAGGCAAAGCGCGGCCTGGAGCTGCTGGAGGGTGTTGTGGATGAGGACATGCCTGCGGAGGCTGGGTGCTCGGGGGCCCAGGCTTTGCTGGACTTTGTCTAGAGAGATGCGGAGCAGGGCTTGCTGGTAGCTTCGCAAGCCCGCTGGACCCCAGCCCCACTTCTCATCCTCCTCTTCCTCCTCCAGGTCCGAGTGTTTCCTCTTCAAGCCTCCTCCTACCATGATGCCCTATGGAGAGAAGAGGGGCAAGTCAGACACAGTAGGGCTAGCCCAAATCCTGAATCTCCTGTACGGTGGTTGTTGATTTTTAATGATCTGAACTTCAGTTTTTGCATCTATAAAATGGAGAGAGTATAAATCCCACAAGGCTAAGAAAGAGAGTAAATGTATGTGACTAAGAAAACAAGACCTTAACACAGCTGGGTTTGAATCCCACTCATTTGCCTGGGTCACCTGGATTAGTGAGTTTTCTTCCTTGAGACTCAATTTCCTCATCTGCAAGATGAGAATCCTAAGTCAAGTCCCTCTGAGCCTTAAAACTATTCTTTCCACAGTACTCATTTCTTCAAATGTGACACATACAAGACAGTGTTAGAATACAGAGACCTAGACTGGAATCAGGGAACTCTCGGTTTGAATTCTGCCTTTCACACTGCTCTGTTGTGTGATATTGGGAAGTGAGATGACATTGCCTCTCTGGGCCTCAGTTTCCCCATCTGTAAAATGGAGATTGTAAAAATTCTCACCACATCCTCAAGGAGACCCACGTATAATATGCACAGGGCTCATCACACAGGAAATGCTTACTGAACAAGAGCTAACTGCCATTTATACATTCAATAATTTTATTTATTGAATGTCTACTATACTCAAGCCATCTGGAGCCCTGTTAGGGGACCTATTTGTCAAGACTCTTCTTTCAGAGTATATGTCTGTCCATGTTCTTTTCCCAACTGGGAGTGCTCACAACAGAAAGGAAAAGGCCTTTCTCATTCCTTCTGTACAAATCTTACCTTCCAACTCGCTCCAAAGCGAGGAGGCCCCGTAGAAATACTTGCTAGAACTTGACTCACGCCAAGACCCGCCCCCTCTCGACCTATCCAACCAGGCCTCGGCTCTCTGCAGACCCCGCCCCCTGCACGGGTCTATAGACGTCTTCAGCAGCCAGGCACGCCCCAATTTAGCGCAGGGGCTTCTGGGGAATGTGGGCTAAGAGCATTTTCCAGGTACGCATGAAGATTTCCAGCGTGCACTGCAATCCCCAGAGAGCTCCGCACGCCACAAGAACCTCCCCCACCCTCCCTCAGGGCATGCGCACAAACGCCCGAGACGGGTGGGGGAAGGGAACCCGGAGGTCCAGCTGCCCGGTGCCTGCCGAGCCCCGCCCTCCACTGCTCCCAGGGCGGCGGGTCTGAGCTCCGGGCCCTGAACACCCCTCCCCCACCTCAGACTGCGGCTCTAACACTACTTTCTCCTGATCCTTCGGGCCCCACAAGGTCCTAGATTCTTCCTCCAAACTGCTCTCGGATTCAGAGACGCAGGCCCAATTCATCGTTCAAAGACTACAAATGCTCTCTGATCCACTCCGTTTGGGACACCAGTTACCTCAATTTGGAGACCGTTCCCCTTCAACTTTCCCCTATTCTCCCCTTTTACAAACGCCTCTAGACTTCACCTCCAAACTCCTCTCTCTGGATCGAAGACCTAAACATGGAACTCTCCTCGGCACCCTCTCTCCGCCACTGCGCCTCGGAAACCAAGATTGCTTTCTCGCTTCTCTAGAATGCCCGGGATCCTAACCCCTATCTCACATTTTTTTCCAGAACAGTAGAGCCCCGGATTCGACCCGTCTGGAGACCCGAACTGTCTTAATTTCAGATTTCCTGCCCCAAAAGTTCCTTCCCTGGTTCTTTTGCTTCTCCAAATATCCCAGGTCCTAGCTTCAAATTCCCTCCATTTGAAGATCCTGCCCAACAACTTCGCCGCCTGTCCAGGATCTCGAATTCAGTCCCCGGTCCCCAAACCCTGAATCTGCGCTCCCCACTCCCACCCAGACTCCGCCTCCACAATTCTCTGGACGTGCCTCCACCTCCCTCAACCCAGGGCAAGCCTCAAGCCGGGCAACCACTTCTCACCTCAGCTACTAGGTTCACAACGACTACCGCCAGAAGCGTCCGAAGCTTTGCGACCCTCCTCTGCTTGCCTCCCTGGGGCCTCTCGGTCTGGCACGGGCTCACCCAGCTCCGCCCCGTAGCCGAGCCATGAGCCGCGATTGGCTGAAATTCTGAGCGCCGCGGGGCGCGGATTGGCTAAGCAGAGCCACCCGCTGTCTCCAGAAGACAGCCCACCCGCCCGCCCCTCCCTGGCGCCCGGGACCTTTTAAAGGATTCCGACTCTACAGGGGGCAGAGCCATGTCTCTAGGGTCAGAGAGATATCAGAACTGTTCCTTTCAAATCAGGTACTGTCCTCACTCCAAGGTCGTCAGCACTGCTCTCTGAAACCCTTTATACCAGGCCTGGACCCCATAAGCAGAGCAAAACTGGCCGTCACGTTCCGCCTCACCCGCTTTCTCGAAGGGCGGGGCAGAGCCACTAGCGGAGGCCCCGCCCACGGAGTTCCGAGGGCGGACGCTGCGGGAGGAGGATGACGCCACTGAAGGCGAGCCAATAGTTTCTCGCGGCGTATGTTGCCTGGGCGATTGCAGTCCACCCTTTCGCTGCCCTTGTTCTCTCTGGCTTTTCCCAAAACTTTACCTCCGGGGCTTCCTTAATCTTCAAGACTACTTAGCAAGAACTTTGGTGGCCGGTCCATCTCACATCCTCCCGACACCCCATCCTGCCTCTCTCAGGATTGCACCTCCGCTGCTGCAGACTGACTCATGGCTCCCTACTTCGCTGGGGACAAAGTCCAAATTCCTTACTTGTGCCACAAAGCCCTTCAAGGTCTGGCCTGATGCACACTCCCCCTTGCTCCCTACCGCCCAGCCACACCAATTCACTTTGAGTTTTTCTAAAATGGCTTCAGGTGCCCTCCACCACCCTGAACACAGAGAATTTGTACCTACGACACTGCCAGCTACACAGCAAGTACTCACAAATGAGAATTAAAGGGAGTCAAATATATGGTAAGGGACGGAAACAGACTTTTAGTGGTGAGTACACATTACAGTATATAGATATTGAATTGTAATGTACACCTGAAATTTGTATAATTTAACCTATGTTACCTCAATAAAAATTAATTTTTAGAAAAGGTTTCTGGATCTTTAAACTTGCTTCCCCATTCTGAAAATAGACCCTCACTTCCTAGGCTGCCTCTCCTCAGAAATCATCTCAAAGGTTTCCTCTTCTTGGAAGCCTTCTCTGATGCTCCAGGGTGGATTGGCTCCCATGGGTCCTGTGTCTCCCCCATCCTGGCCCTGAGTTGTCACAGCCTGGACTGTGGGTCTGCTGATGACAGGTACCAAAATTGTCTCTATCATCCATTGTATGGTCACAACACCACCTATCAGGGGGCTGGACACAAAGCAGGAGCCTAGGAAAAGCTTGTTAAATGCCCAGGCAATGTGGCAGAGATAAAGAAGGCAGAAGTGAAACAGTGCTAGGGTCCACAAAGTATGAACCAGTAGTGCCCCACCCCCACAAGTTTTCACCAGGTTACCCAAGGCCACTTCTCACTGGATGGAATTTGACAACCAAGTCATCTTACACTGTTTGTAGAAACTGTAAGACTAGAATGGATTTTGCTGGTGGGGGAGGAGGGGGAGGAGGGGAGAGGGTGTTGCAGGGGACCTGGGAAGAGGCTGGAGGTAGCAAGAGAGGAGCGGCTCTCACTCAGGCCTGGGAAAGGTGTCTCTGGGGAATAAAGGCAGGGACAGTAGATTTCAGAGGGACATGATTAGGAAGGGGACATGCTTCCCTTCCCTCCTTCCAAACCTGTCCCTCCTCTAGGTTCCTCATCTCAGAGAGGCCCCACTGTAACCTGGCCTCCAGCTCGCAACTCCCTTTCCTCAGGGATGCTGCCCTCCCCACCCACCTAGTTGTTCCCATCAGGCTCCACCCACTCTCTCTTCCCCTCCTCAAGATTTCTGTCCTTTCCTCCTGGGCTCCCAACCTCCACTCTTACCCTGCTCCCACCCACCTTCACACAGTATCCAAGGGGAGTTTTATCAGACCCAAACCTTACTGTGCCTCCTCCCTACCAATCAGTCCCCTGCTTCCCTCCTTGCATAAAACCTCAGAATAAAGTTCAAACTTTTTACAATGACTCTGCACAACTTAGCATCCAGGGAACAGCCTCTTGGGTTGACCACTCCTCATCTCTGAGAAAATAATCATTGGCTATAGGGGATTGATTTTAGTTCTTTGTGTGCTCTCCAGCCTCCTGGTCTTTGCTCATGTGCTTCCTTCTGCTCAGGATGCCATCACACCTTAGGACCTCTTCCTGGCTTATTCTTCCCAAACCAGATTGCAGGTGGGAACTCCCCTGTTCAACAGAGCCTTGCTTGCTCCCCAAGTTAGGTGCGGTATCTTCTCTGGGTTCCCACTGCCCTCTGTGCTTCCTCCATCAGAGCCATGGCCACTGTGGGTTGTCACCATTAGACTGTGAGATGTGTGAAGGCAAGGCTCACAGCTACCTTAGTCACCATGGGGTCCCCAGCACAGGGCCAGGTGGGGAACAATGACTCAATAAACTGTAACTAAGGAAATGAATGAAGGAATACCCAGAAAATCTTACACACAGGGCACACAGAGTCATTGAGATACCCACAGCCAGAGTTGGGCCTTCTAGTATAATCTGAAACTCTTGGCTCAAAATTTATTGCTTCCTTCCTTTGTTCTGCATTTCCCAGGATGCTGTCCTCCTGGACAGGGACAAGAGCCTTAGTTGTACTGGTGGGAAGGGTAGACGCTGCGCCCGTCGTACTCATCGGTGGTGAGGCAGCGCAGCATGAAGTGGCCCAGGTCATGTTTGGAGATGACCCTCGAGGGCCCGTGTCCATCCAGGGTCACTGAATAGGCCCCAGTCAGTGGCTGGTCTCCTGTAAAGACAGAGGGGACGGATGAAGATGCGCTTTTTCCAACCCCCAACATGTGGTCGCTACAGTGATGGCTCCGGGGGCCTGCAGTATGCCCAGCATAAACGGTATTAGAGCTGACAACATATGAAACCCTCCCCACGAGCAGGGCACTAATCTATACCCTTCCCTTCATTCATCCGACAGATCGTTATTGATGACCTGTTGTGTCAGGTGCTGGGCACTCAGCGAGGGACAAAGCAGACACAGATCCCTGCTCTCAGCATGCAGACATTTGCTAAGCAGAGACGACTAATAAGATAGGAAGGTACAGGAGACAGTATGTTAGACTGGGAGAAATAACACAGAAAATGGACCAGGAACTACTTATTAACTCTGTGTTACAAGTGAGGACACTGAATATTGAAGAGAGGGAGTCACATGCCAGTGCCAAAGGCTCGATTGGCTCTGGGTATCTCCGTCTGGATGCTTTCCAATCTCGGGACCCCTCTGGGGGGACCGAGGAACATGTCCCAGTCCCACAGGTCAGGGCATGGGTTGTATTCTGTGGGCACTGGGAGAGTGCATTTTCCTGACCTTGTGAACATGGAGTTGGTGTGTTCTGATTCCAGGGACACAGCTCGGTCTTTCCTAGATAATGCAGACAGTGGACGGGCACGACCTGGCTGTTGCAAGGAATCTCATGGATGCATTATAATAATTTAAAATAATACCTTCCAGCAAGCAACTGAATTTAGGGATGAAAGGCAGCACACCAGCACAGGCACAACCTGGAGTTGGGTGCATTCTTACTCTCCCGGCATTCCTACTTAAAATGTTTACTCTGCGCCTGTGAGAACACAACCAAAAATCCAGAAGGTGGGCATTTAAAAAGATGCCAGGCCTGGTTAATGTTGTGAGAAACATGAAAAGGAAAAAAAGATGTGACAGATTGCTCCAGATTTAAGGTATTGTGGCAACGCACCACAGAGCGGATCCTCGATTGGGATCCTGACTAGGGGGGAGGGGAAGATTGGAAGATATTTGTTGACAATCAGGGAAATTTGAATAGGACATGGATACTAAATGATATGATAGAGTTCACGTCAATTTCCTTGGCTCATTTACGGTCCTGTGGCTTGTACACAAATACTCTTCTCTGAAGATTTCTACTGAGGCTCTACAAGTGAAGTGTGAGAATGTCTGCAACTCGCTCTCACATTGTTCTGTGAAAAACACTAATGAGAGCCCTGGCTGGTGTGGCTCAGTAGTTAAGCGCTGGCATGAGCATCAAAGGGTCGCTGCTTCCATTCCCAGTCAGGGCACATGCCTGGGTTGTGGGCCAGGTCCCCAGTAGGGGACGCTTGCAAGGCAACCACACATTGATGTTCCTCTCCCTCTCTTTCTCCCTCCCTTCCCCTCTCTAAAAAAAAGTTAAATAAAATCTTTTTAAAAAATATGGGCACATGCCTGGGTTGCGGGCCAGGTCCCCAGTTGTGGGGGGGTGCATATGAGAGGCAACTGATTGATGTTTCCCTCCCTTTCTTTTTCCCTCTCCTCCTCTATCTCTAAAAATAAATAAATAAAATATTTGAACAAAATACTAATATCTATATAAAATATTAAACACATGCAAAGATAATTGATAACTAGTCAGTTATATATAGAAAGATAGGACAAAATGCAAATAAGGCCAATATATTAAAAACTAAACCTCAATGAAGAACTTTAGGTATTCATACACTTTAATTCCTTCAACTTTTCTGGAGGTTTTGAAGTTTTCACGTGCACACATACAAAAGAAAAAAACTGAAAAAAGTACTCTGTGTTAAATGACTGTTAGGCATGCCCTCCCTGGGTACTTATTCCAAACCTAGCAGGCCAAGAAGCAATACGATGAGCCTTGTTTACAGAAAAGGAAACTGAGGCTGGGAGGCCAGGGGTTGGGGTTTTCACCCAGCTTCTCCACTAGGCAGCTTCACTGATTCAAACAAAGCTCAGGGTCCTGGGATCATAGGGTCCTGACACGGTCACTTAACCAAATCTAAACTGTGAGCCTTGTTTGGCCCTCTGGGGTGTGTCGTTTCCCGCTCCTGTCAGGGGCCCCAGAAAGCAGAGGACAAAGCAGAACTATTCTTCTGGTGGGCAGGCAACAGTGGCGGGGTCCTAGGGTCTGGCCTCTGAGTACCTGCACTGCTGTTCCTTATCCCAGTCCTCCCGTCCCTCAGACCTTTACCCGACTCCCTCCCTTGCTGCAGGAAGCTGTCTCCT